ATTTTAAAAAGTACGGTAGAATGCAACAATGTGGTTGAATTTGTTTGCATCTTCGTCAGCTTATTCGTTTGCAGACTAGAAAAATGGCGAACAGCCATCAAAATACTAATTCAAAATACACAAAAATGGGTGCGCGCAGCAAAATTCAGCCCTAATGGTAAGTTCATTTCATCGTGCGGCGACAAGTTAAGAATTTGCGATACATTTTCAGGCGAATGTATGCGAACGTTTACCGGGGGAAGAGGTATGGGACGACAGCTGGCATGGCATCCAGACGGCAATCTGGTGGCTTTAGCATTAAGTTGTAACCGCGTTAAGATATTTGACAAAGCTGAAGGCGAGCTAATACAGTGCATTCGTCGCCGGAGAATGATGTTGCATTTCACCCAAGTGGAAATTTCTTGGGGACTGGCGGCGATGACGATACAATAAGATTGCTTGAATTATTAGAAGGTCGGCCAATTTATACACGGTAGTAGGGCACTTTAGCGGAACCAGGTCAAAATGGACGGGAAAATTATACACTAACTGGCTACTAAGTTTGCGCTGTCGCTTTCTCTCCACATGGTAGACATTTTGCTTCCGCGGGCGAGAATCGACAGGTAATTTCTGCTTTGTATGTAAAAAAATTATATAATATAAATTTTTTCCTGTATTCAACAGTTGCTCGTTTGGAAATCTAATTTGCATACATTTGATGCCAATAGCGCTCGCAACAAACAAACCAGTTCTCAAAGAGTCCAAATTGATTTTAGTCATGCAACTGCTCCACATAACTCCGCCATAGACACACCAGTTGCTGGAGTACCAAAAAGCTGTGATGAAGGTATTTTAATTGATCCACGACAATCGGTGGCATATGGAATGCGTGATCGAAATTTTCTGGTGCTTGATAGCCAATATACTACAAGAGTGAAACGCTACAAGTGAAATGCTGTGATAGTAATTTTTCTTAAATTTCCATCTTTTATATGCAGTTACATTAAGAAGCTCATAGAGGACAGAGCTGTTGGTGAGGAAGGTGTCGAGTTACTGCAGTACTGCAACTGGGAAAATCCGCATTTCGCACGTGCCCCACTCGTATGGAATAGTAGCTTATGTCAAAAGGCTGGTTTTAGTATAATGCGGCATTCACAGCATACCCTCACTGGCGCCGAGCCGTTGAAGACATTTTGGCAAATAAACGTGCAAGAAATAGTTCCGATACTAGCACGTCCATATTCTTGTTAAGGGTCATCAAAAAATTCCTTATGTTGTAAATAATAAAGAGAATGCCGGATTATACTAAAGCCAGCTTCCCGACATAAACTATTCCATACGAACACAGAAATATAAATGTATCTAAAACTGAATAACTCAAATCAAATTGGATCGCATTTGCATAGTATACCTAATATTGGAATCTGTTTTGATCGTAAAAAATACAACTTGCAATCATATAGATTATAGTTTTGAATGAAATTGTGTAAAAATTGTTAATAGCAATCTGCCTTAAATTTATGTTCCCCATGTAACGGGTATAAAATACGTTAAATCCGCACTATCTGCATTAACAAAAAATATACATTGGAATATTTAAAATAAAACGATTCATATTTATTTTCTAATAAGAATTGTTTCTTAATTGAAAGTATTTAATACTAATATAATGTAGTGATTAATGTTTAAAAATGAATTCGCAATATGTCCGCAGCTCAGGTTGATTTGAAGAAATCCGTTTAAATTTTTCGAATTACATCTACTTGAATATAGGATTGGCAGGGTTGCATACAAATGGTAGTTCCGTAAATATTTAAAATATGTTAGTTCATTCAATATTTGCATCTGGGCCAATAAATAATAACAAATAAAGCCGAAAAAAA